CTGTCTGCACTTGGATTTTATCTCGTGTGTGGTACTATAAATTCTGTCATGCCCTGAAGATGCATTCTGTTGTTTCTCTCTTTGGAGTCCGTGAAGACCCTGAGCTCTTGCTAAGAGACACTTCATTTCTGCCCAACATGTTAGACTGTAGCAGAAGACTCAGTGCTTAAAATTGAGCAGCCTCCATTACTCTGGAGGCTGGGGTAGATGGTCGGATTGTTGCTTGGAGCCTTACAGCTTTGTGGGAGCACTGCCTTTACTTCTCTTACCTCCCAGCATGGGGCCCTCAGAATTGCTCTCCCTGGCAATGATCTATTTCAAAAAGTCTCTTCTAACAGCAATTAGCAGTGAAGTGGAGGCTGCACTCCCAAGGAACTGAGCGCTGGGGAAAGGTGCTTGGTTTCAAGCTTTGCTCCATGGCTTGCAAGGACAAGTATCTGTTTCCTTCGTCCTGGGCTGAGTGTGGCCACAGTGACTCTCCTCTGTGTTGGCGGCTCTCAGGGGCTGCAGGATCATACCATGACATGGGTCAGGCTTCAGTCCCAAAATATCCATGCCCCTTGGGGTGGTCTTGTGCAGCTTCTACCATGCTACAGGTATTTTGAGGAGCTTGGTCTGGCCCACAAGGGGCTGCACTCCCTGTGTAGCTCCCCAGCACCATGGGGCTGATCATCCTCCCTCATTATCAGTGCTGCATCCGTGAGTAGTGTGAGGAGCAGAGCCAGCACTAAGCACTGGCTGTGTCCCTTATTAATGTTGTTCTCACTATTTCAGTGCCATCTTCCTTATTTCCACCCTCTTCCTGAACAACTAAATTAATTAGAGTGATTTTTTTATTTTATTTAAATACTGTCATGGAATAATAATTCTGGCGAATTCAATTTTTTTTTTGTCATTCCCCACTGCTTCTTTTCTCTGTTGTGCTCTCTTTTAATATGCTGTTGATACTTTGTTATAGCTATGCAAGATCACAGCTGTTGTCTGAAAAAAAAAAAAGAGAGAGTAAAATCCTGCTATGTGCTGTTGCCTTCCAAAACCCATTTTTCTTTCTCCACCAGCTCACAAAATAACCCTTCCCCATTAAGTGCAGAGGCATACATTTTTCTTGGCTTAGAAAAAGACTCACAGCAGCTACAGTGAAGCTGCAGCAATGGAAGGAAGTCGAAGCCCCTACAACAGACTGGGGCCCCATCCTGAGCCCCTTAGGAGGTTGGATCCTGGAAAGTTTGGATCCCAGGAGTGATTCCACATAGGCAGTGGATCTGTGGGCACCATCAGCTCCTGTGTGTTACTAGTCACTGAGTTTTGTTCCCCTGGATGTGTTCATTTGACCTGTAAGCATGTTTTCTGAACCAACCCAGGAACAAGATGACTCCTTCAGCTTTCTTGAAAGGAGAAAAAAAATCCTGTTAGACCCTGAATTTATATTTACCATGTTTTGCTTAACACTGGCCCATCCAGACAGCTTTCCTCGGCCTTGGCCAGGCCCTTTCTGACCCTGGGGCCATTTGCATGGAGAGTGAAGCTATACAAGGACCAAGCTGGAGAAGCACTGTGCTCGCCTCAACAGCACGAAGCCATAAACGAAGGAGAGCCAGGCTGGAGATTTGAATCGCCGTCTCCAAGTCCACAGTTCCAATTACAAAGCTGACTTCCATCAGCCTCACAATGCACACAGCCAATTCTGAAATTCCTCCCTGACTCCCTGACCCTGGACCTGTTTAGTGACTGCACTGCTTATACCTCATGTCTGTAATGTTTCAGAGCACTTTTAAATGAAGCTCTGTTGAGGCTGTGCAGTCCCAATTAACACACACAGGCTGCGTGACCGCTCTGGCAGGGCTTGCCCGGGCACTGTTGCCTCAAACAAGGGTTATTAGGGTTGCTGAGGTGAGATTGCATTAAAGGAGTGAGATGAAAAGCTTGTTTCTCCCCCCGGACTGCAGTACTCATCTCTTGCTCCTGGAGAGGCGATGTGCTGTGGTGCCCAGACATCTCCAGGGTCAGAGTCTTCAGCAATCTTACTTCCCTGCTCAAGACCAGAGGAAGGAGTAAGTTTGTTGGCTGCCTGGGTTTTACTGAAAGCAGCATTATGTAAAGCAAAAACGCATCTACTACTCCACCGGCACAGCAGCAGGGTGAGGATCACCATGAACAACAAAGACAGGGGAACAACCCTGTCTCTCTCCTGAGGCATACAGCCTGCTTGCACCCTTTAAGGCAGATTCTTATCAGTCATTTTTCAGTCAGGGCTCTGTATTTCTGGCCAACCCTGGAATGGGAATGAACCCTTCTCAGGGTTATAGAGAGATGATGAGAATCTTGGAGCAGGATAGTATTAGCTTCCAAGTCTTTTGCCCCAGAACTGAGCCTGAAGTGTGTCCTGTGTCCTAAAAGGAGAGGATGAATGTAAGGTTCTGCAGGGAATAGGGATGTTTGTAATGCAGCACAAAAGGTAATTCAGCCCCTGGTAATGTTATATACAACTTCCTTGCCAGATGCTTCAACCCCCTGAACAGTTGTAAGTGCTTCTCCATGGGCCTCAGTTAAATTCCCTCCAGTATGTAAACTCTGGCTTGTTTTGACCAATACCTACAGACTTGATTGCAATAGCAGATGGTTTATTTTTACCTGCAAGTGAGAACAGGGAGTGTATATCACAGCCACGACACATTTCACACGGAGCAGATGTTTCTATTAATGCCAGAATCGGGTAAAAATTCAAAGGATGCTTTTTGCTTCCCCCCCCCCAAAACCTCAATTTTACTCAATTAAATTGCAACTTGCTGAAGTATTCCAATGAATCACTTCCCTTTTTTTTTTGTTTTGTTTGATTAGTAGGCTCTAAAAGGACAAAAGAATAGCTTTGTATCAGTCTCCCTCAATTACATGTAAAGTACATCTGGACAGAGTCTGAAGATCCATCTTTCACTGGCAGTTGCAAAGCCATCGACATAATAAAATAATACTCTGATTGGTATTACAAGGCTGCATTTAAATCATTGGCATTCATGCTCGGAGTCCTTTGCAGGGAGCACAAGCCCTCCATTAGAGAAAAGCTTAATTTTATACTACGATCTGTGTAAGATATGCAATGAAAATGAGAAAAAAAGAGCTTTTGCAGAGCTGGAGACATAATAATAGAAGCTACAATGGATGTCTGGGCAGCTTTTTCAGTTACTTATAAACTGCAGGTGTCAAATGCATTCTGGAAAGAAGCTGAATCACAGTTTTAATTACAGTCAGCAAGTAGAGGCATAACTCAAGGCTTGATAATACCTTCAATCCATCACAAAACTCCTCCTGCTATCAGTAAGAAGTGTACACCAAGACCAAGGAGAAGACGTGACCTCCTTGCAGCAGCTAAATCCTGAACTTCAGTATCCCACTGTAAAATCCCAAACACCCTTGGTATTGAAAGTACCTATTCCTTGTGTGATAACCTCAGCAAGCCTTAGCATCAAGTGGGAGCTGAACTAGTCAAACTGCTCTGATGATCAGGGTGAGAAAGATGAGTCATTGCAGCTTTCAACCAAAGGTTCCTTTGGCTCAAATTAGTTGTAGGGTAAAAAAAGGAAGAATGGAATTGTGTGGGTGAACCCAGGTATGTTGGCTGGGCCATCTCAGGTCTCACAAGGTAAGGCTTTATCTGCAATCTCTTTTACCAGCAACAGCAAGTTTATTGAGCTCAGAGTTTAAGTTAATTATGTTCTTGAATAGCACCACGTACATCAATGCCCTGACCCAAAAATGAGTCTTTGAGGCCTTATGCTGATACATATAATAAAGAATCATATTAAACTGTTCTGTCTATTAATGATTCTGGGGGAAAAAGCAGGTTGTGTGTGCTGGTGTGCTGAACTCAGCTGCCGGGGGCTGCTGCTCAAAGGTAGGTAGAGGACTCATTTAAAGCCAGCATGCAGAGTCTTTGAAGCAGAAACTAATGATGCCTTATTATGTGGGAAAACACAGCTCCAGAGTTACGGGGCCAGCCACCACATGGGGGATCAGGAGAAAGGCCACTGAAGAGGACACAGAGAGGCAGAGCTGCTTGGGAGATGGAGGTTTGCTGAGCAAAGAAGATGCTTGCTGCTTTTACTGTGCTCAGGGAAACACAATCTTACAAAGCAAACTTCTTCGTGTCAGGGGATTCAACCAACATACCTGCCCAGTACCATTCCTCAGCTGTAATGGAGCAGCCCTAAAGACCAGCCAGAAGGAGAAAGGGGCTCATGGGGGAATGATCTTCCACTGGGTACCAAGAGCCAGGAACTGCCTGGGACCAGAGGACTTATTCGAGGAGTTACACAGAGCTGGAATAAACTACAGGAACAAACTAAAACCACTGGAAGCACTAACTTTTAAAATAATTATATTTGTTCTGACATCACCCACACATACAGATAAGCTTTATGTCATTACCAAAGACAGCCCCCACCAATGGCATTTGCAGCTCTCAATACATAACACCTACATCCTCACAACACCCCTGTGAGGCAGGCCAAGGCCATGAACCCCATTTCACCAGTGGGGAACCTGTCAGAACTGAGTGAGTGGTCACCCAGGGAGTCTTTTGCCAAGCAAGGAGTGGGGCATGGGCTTTCCTCTGCAGCCATGGGACTGCTTTTTGGTCAAACACCCTGCATTGCTGCCAGCTCTTCTGCTCCAGCATAGCCATTTCTGCTCTAAGCTAATGGCCATGAGCAGCAGGTGATGCCATCTAAGTCCTCACAGGCATTACAGTGATCATAAAACAAGAACTGGGGAGAGGGGAAAAGAACCTGTGGAAAGACCAATGTGATTTGTAACCAAGTGCCAGTCTTAAATGCCTACCATGTTCCTAGTGACAAATTAAGTGCATATCAAACAAGAAAGTACTTTAAGAAACTGGGACTGTTTATCTCCACTATCCCAGAATCACAGAAAACAGGGTAGGAAGAACCCTGAGGGGCTGTCAGGTCTTTTTCTCAGCTTCTATGATCCCATGTGGTTGGTTCCCTTCAATAGATGGAGCTTATGGTACTAGCTTGGCTACTTGTGTCAGAGCTATCCAGTGTCACATCAGGACCTGCATCCGCGCCGTCAGGATCTGCTTGATCTTTAGCAAAGTTGATGAAAACCTAGAAGTTTAAAGGAAAACACTCAGTATGTGACAGCATAAATAATTTATAGTATGAATGAATATCAAAAAGGCCTGGCTGTTCATTTGACTGTGAGCCTGGAGTGCTTGCTCAGGGATGGATTCACACCAGATTTGAGAATTGAAAATGTTGGGCTTCTGTGGGCTAATGTGAA